ACAGAATACCAGCGTAAAATAGCAACTCTATGCTGCTGTGATTCGTATGATGAGCATAGAGAACCGAAGACCCCTTTCACTGGAAATGAGGCATTCCATTATAGTCCTCGCGGGTGACAACACATCTGCATTCTGATTTGTAGTCGATGATAGATACATGTAGATGTCCATGGGGCACAACAACTGCTTACTCGTACTATGAGGTCGACTGTGTGCTTGTTTGTGACCTTTAGCCTATAAAAACATTATGATCATAAATATTGTTTATTCTAATGTTATATAAATAAATTGATCTTTACGCCTCTCATTATTATCTTTTTTTTAAATTATTAGGTTTTTGTAGATTATCGGTCTATAAAAGCTATAACTTACGACTAATTTTTAAAACTTCGAAACTCCCTTTCTTAAAGAAATGTAAAACATATGACACTTATATCTAATAAAAGACTAGCTGACATCACATGTCCAAGAATAACTCGATCTTACTAATGCGATCAATTGCAAAATGTAACTTTAAAAAACTACGCTAGACCTTAGATATACATATTTAAAAACATATATAACAACATAACAGGACATATTCGAAAAAAACTTGTTAAAAGCGGGACTTTTTTTAAAAAGTAATTTATACAATATGAAAGGTTAAAGTTTATAGACAAATCCTTCCTATGAGGCAATGTATGAGGGAGGCCAACGTTCAGAGGTGAACTTTTATAGTCAGGATGGATGGAAGTGTTATTGTTCCTCGTATATTTATACGTGGTTGAGCCATGCTGCAGTTATATTAGAAGAATAGTTGTAGCACGAATGGGTTAGCTCGACCGGGGAAGGACCACGCTATTACAGAATACTAGCGTAAAATGTTTCGTATGGTGAGTGTAGAGAACCGGAGACCCGTTTTTACTGGAAACGAGGCATTTCGTATTAGTCCTCACGGGTGACAATGCATCTGCATTTTGATACGTAATCGAAGATAGATGTAGATGTCTATGGGCCACAGCAACCACTTACCATCAGATGGACTGTGTGTTCGTTTGTGACCCTATCCTATAAAGAAATTAATTTAAAAAATATACGTATTCCTTGAAAATTAATAGTAAGTAATTACAAAAAAATATTTTATTCATATGTTTCATATATGAATGAGTTATAAAAGGGTTTGATCTGAGCATTGTTATTAATTTGAACAATTTATAAGAACAAGTTGTGAACAAATGTAATTCAAATGTTCGTCGAGCCTATATTATGGTTTCGAGAATACATGAGCAAGTTGCTAACGGTGGGCTATTGTATATAATAAAATGCAAGAATGCGTGGTGTGTAAATATGAAAGTGTATCCTGATTTACAAGACTGATAACACTAAACGATTGTATTATGTATTGTATACCAGATATAAGATTAATAGAGAGTGTAAGATGCAAAATAAAGCCAAGGAAAACCAGTAAGAATAATTTTCTTTAACGGTAAAACGCTTTAATCCTTCTTTATTTTTATAAGTTAGTTATGCCATAAATTAAAAACTGAATAGCAGCTTGAAGCTGCTGTGTATCGCACGGTGAGTGTAAAAACTGGTGACTTTTTCCACTGGGAACGCGGCATTACATCTTATTTCTCAGGGGTGACAAGGCATAGCGTTTTATTCTTAATCTAGGATACATGTTGATGTCTATGGGTCACAGCATCCATTTACATTCAGATGGACCGTGTGCTCTTTTGTTACCGTTATACAATAAAAAGGGCTCAGAAGGGCTAGAACCCAGAGTCAGTTAATAAAAAATGTAAAAAATGATTATTAGATTAAATTCACGATGAGACGAAGAATTTTGGCGCAGTTAGACCTACATAGCTATACAGTCAAACTAATCCTAACATACAAAAAAGTAACAAACAAACAGATTTTCAGTAAAGAGGTTAAACACGTATCATTAATTCCTGAGCGACGACTAAAACACTGAGAGACGGTTCTTCTGAATTATAAACAGCTTATCAATAAATGATTTAAGAGATAAGTCTGCAAACTGTCGTTCACATTGTTTGAGTCGCTTGTGACAATACTCCTGTCCTGAGTCCTGTGCGATGGTTAACGGTGCATTGACTGACTTCATGTGAATAAAAAATTTTATACTAATAATATATCACCCACTGAATACGTCATTAGTATTGCAATATTCCCATACATACAAAGATAAGCTTCTTTTCATATTTCATCAGTAGGGGTGGTAAGGTGCGAGCGCAAAGAGGCCAGACAAGTGAAGCTGAGATCACAAGAGACTCACGCCAAAGAAGAGCATCTTATCAATAAATTAGAGTATCGGCTCGCTATATTAAATATTTAATTATTGAATAGACAAGTATTGAGTACAATCTATATATTATATATTTATTTAATAAATTCTTAAGACATAGGATGATTTGTTGAAGGTGCACCAACATCTATAAATTATAGCCATGTACTGTTAAGTGTATATAATTGTGTATCCTTATATTTATAAATAGGTATATAAAATTACGTCTATCCCGATGATAACATGATAATACATGATGCCTGATAATACATGCAGGAATTCGATGGATACAGGTGGCTCAGGACTGTGTTTTGTGGCATTCCTTGAGGGAGGCCTATGTTCAGTAGTGGACTTATGAAGAGCTGTAATTATTCTTCTTTGTTCTTTTTCTGCTGCAATTATTATTGCTGTAATAATATTATTAAGTAAATTATGTCCATTTTAGTTCGCATGGGTGTTTGATTATACATCTCTGGCGTCTCTGCATAGCACTAATGAAGCATGTAATACGGTTTTAAATGAATCACTTGTTGTATGCCCAGATTTGATTGCTCAACTCACCCTGTTTTTCCCAACCGTATGCGTGGCAATCAACACTAGCCTGACTATACCAACGACAACATGTAGCATTTTACGTACCTTTAGGAAGTTACGAACGTGTCATGACATGGAATCTGTCAACGGCGAGAGACGTGGACATAGACGGCATGTGCACGCGTGCGTTCACGTGCCGTCTATGTGTGAAAAGGATTAAAAGAGGATACAACTCAATATACAATTTTCTACAGCAACCTCGAGTTTTCAAATTATTATTTACATAGTGACTTTAATAATAAAATAAACAGTTTTTTTCTCTTCCTTTTTTAATTTTTTTCCTGTTTATTTTTATGATGGCGGACACCCTCTTGCGTTCTCCTCCCTGCACCCATAGCAATACCAGGAGCTAATAAATGTAGAATGTATACCAATAATATTAATCATGATATCACTATTATTATTAGTATCGTAATAATACGATAATTGTTATTAGTACGATATCATATACTTTTTTTTTAAATTTACATCTCTAGAAGTAATAAGATCTCATGGCCTAATTATGAAAATTGTCTACATTTCTATAAGTGGCTATAAGATATTAACCACTATAAAAATATTAATAGAATCAGGCGTTATTTTGCAGAAATTCAATATTAAATATGTCAAAAATTAATTTGCTTATATCCGCGCAATAAAATAAAATGATGTGTCTTACCTAGTTTAGTTTTTTCACGTAGTAGAGCCATGCTGCATTAGTAATGTCCTCCAGACCGAATTTCGGTCACGGCGGCCTGCCTCAACGAAGGCTAGCCAACGGCGTAGGACAGGATTATAGTGCCCAAGTGTATGCGCAAGCACAGGTGCACTCTCTATTCCCTCATTCTCATAATCGGATGGGACGGTAAACCGACACGACCGGAGAGAGATCAGGCGCAGGACCAACGGCTTTACGTGCTTTCCGAGGCACAGGGGTTAGACACCGCAAACTTCCTGACTCCGGGCAGCTACTGAGAATTTCTTGACAGAAAAAGTCAATAATTGATTTTTTGGCCCGACTCGGGATTCGAACCCAGGAGCTCATGGTCAGCAGTCGTACTACAACCGCTAGACCAACGATGACCGGACCGGGAAGGACCGCGCACTCACAGAATACCAGCGTAAAATACTAGCTTAATGCTGCTGTGTTTTGTATGGTGAGTGTAGAGAACCGGAGACCCTTTTTACTGGACACGAGGCATTCCATCTTAGTTATCACGGGTGACAACGCATTTGCATTTTGATTTGTAATCGAGGATAGATGTGTATGGGCCGCAGCAACCACTTACCATCAGGTGGACTGCGTGTTCGTTTGTCACCCTATCCTATAACAAAAAAAAAATATTTTGAAGAGCACCTCTCACCCTTCCTAAACTGCATGCACTTTAGCCATCACTACTAATTCCAGCACCACTACTCCCAACACCACTACAGAACACTCATCATCAATCACAATTATTTTATTTTAATACGCGGATCTTAGCAAATTAATTTTTGATATCTTTAAAATTAACCCATATTAAAATAAAAAAGAAATGTGAGAAATAACAAAAATATAATTTATGTTTAGGTAGTTTTATAACCATCTCGTTTACATCAGACTGAAAATATCCATATAGGCGACAGGCTGCATAGTCAAAGGTACTAGGATGTTTGACATATTCATTTTATATCTTCTGCTTTATCGGACATTAAAAGTTCACAGCTGGACATATCCCTTTCCCGTTGTAGTACGCTTTGACTTCAGGCGAAATTACTCATCGATATACACATCCTCGATTTAGAATCAAAATGCTGTTACGTTGTATTTTTATGGAATACCTTGTTACCGGTAACAAGGATTTCCGGTTCTAATCACTCATTATACAAAGGAGGAGCTTTTTATGCCCCCATTTCACGCTAGCTTTTTATGAGGGCGTAGTCCTTTTTCAGACAAGCCGATCTATTCTCCTTTTTATTACAAGCTCTCCTTATAACATAAAACAATTTCTAGGGCGATTTCCAGGAATATTTATTTTTCAGTTTGCTTAATACAAAAGGAAATTAATTCGTTTTTAAATCAAAGGTTTATTATTATTTATATAAAAATAATAAAATTAAGGAAGTATTTAATTTAATGTATAATGTTTTACGGTGCCAGATCAGCAGCCTGGTGGCAGCTCGGGGCGAGGCGGCTGTGGGCGGCGCGGCCGTCCAGCGTGTGGGTGCCGCAGTCTGCTGCGCCGTGGAACGATTCGTAGCAGTCGGTGAAACAATCGCCGATGATAACCCTGACGTGCGACACAGCATGGTGCTTGCATGCAAGGAAGCCAGAGCTGCAGGTGAGTACGGCTTGATAGCATCTTATAACTTTACCAATTTTTAATCATTTACATGAGCTGCTCTTAGAGAAAATGTTTAGATAGGCATTAGTGGACGTTTTGTGACAGGCGGATACCAGAATAATTCCGTACGTGTTCCGTTCGCTGACTGACGGAGAACACCAAAAAGATTTTATTAAAAGATATTAAACGTTTTTATTAAGCTCATTTATGTATTTATAACAAAGTGATAAAACAAGTCCTTCAGATTAGGCAAAATAAAAAAGCACAAGTAAAGTAAGTAAGTTTCAACCCATTCAATTAAATCAGTAGAAAATTCAATTGAAATCCAAAAATGAGAGGAATAATTAATTTTGTTATTCAAATTTTGTTGAAGTAAGGAAATTAAATAAAATGTACTTAAGAATGTTTTTCAGACATAATTACACTACAATATAAGCTTTAGTTCCCTTCCCCTCGTAATGTTTATTACCCTTTACATCATAACATTTAATGAACCGCGATGTAAGTAGTGCCAGCGATGTTCTGCGGAAATATCAAAGTTATATCGTGGTGTTTCCAACCAGGCCATTAGTTTATAGGCCATGTGTATACCAAGTATGCTCAAATGAATCAAATATTATAAATGTATAAACATCAGAAGGAAATTCAAGCGGCATAATTTCTGAAAACGGAAAAATAAAATCTATGTGAAATAAATCACTCTAAACTGCATAAACGTTTATAATAATAAAACTCATTTTTTACATTGTCCATTTAAAATATTTTCTTATGGATAGAATATGTTTCATCTAATCATAGAGCCCATTTTACGTCAAATTTTTAGTTTGTTAAAAATAATAAAATATTTTATCTGTTATGAAAAGAATATTATTTTTATATTATGTATGTTTAGAGCTGGAAAGTACTACATACCATTAAAATGTAACAAAATTATAACTAAACCAATTTAATTTTAGACAACATATTATACGTTTTGCGAACTTTGCAAATTTAATCAGAAGACTTTAAAGTACGATATTTGTGCTTAGCTACCGAGCTTTGTCTCTCAATTCTGTGTATTCTAAAAACGGTTTTCTTTTGTTGAAACTTTATTTTTTATTTAAAACGTACATTAATACATACGGATCTTTATCGCTAAAACTAAAATAATTATTCTTAAATATTTTATTAAGAAATTAACAGTTTAGACTTTAAAGAACACGTAGCTGTGTTCTTCAAAGTCTCTCTCTCTCTCTTCCTGGCTATGTGTCCCACATGGTGGTGGGGTCAGCCTTTCTTGTCTTACGCCTCCACTTCGCTCTATCCTCGACTTCATTTTCGGAGACTTCGCACTCTCTCATGTCCTTTACCACTACATCTTTCCATCGTGTTTTGGGTCTGCCCCTGGATCTTCGACCTGGGATGGAAAGTTGTAGTGCCAAGTTCCCTACGTAGTCGGGTGGCCTCCTCTTCACGTGCCCATACCATTGCAGCCTACTTTCCTGCATCTTGTCAGCGATGTCGCGCACGCCCAAGCTTCCTCGCACGTACTCGTTGCGGATTTTGTCGAGCTTGGTAACGCCGCACATCCACCTCAGCATCTTCATCTCGGCAACTTGCATGGTATGCACATTCTTTTGAGTTACGGCCCATGTTTCACTGCCATATAATAGGACTGGTCTGATGATGGTCTTATAGATTAAACCTTTAAGTTTGACCGGCATTCTCCTATCGCAAGTGACACCAGTCACTTCTCGCCACTTTAGCCACGCTGCGGCTATTCGGTGCTGAATGTTAATTTCCAAGTCCCCAGAACCGCTCATCATACTACCCAGATACTGGTATTGATCACACGATTTGACCAATTGTCCATCGATGGAAATCGGACTGTTGTTTGTATCTGGGTCGTTGAAGGACATGAACTGAGTCTTTGCCACACTCAGCACAAGGCCACCGGTCTGTAACTGATGTTTCCACGCCACGAGTGCCTCTTGCAAGTGAGCGCGGCTGTCTGTGCAGATGGCTACGTCGTCAGCGTATATAAATGTCCACGTTGCTGAATTCTGTGCCGCTTCAGTGAGTGAGTCCAGAACCAAACAAAACAGAAAAGGGCTCAATACAGAACCTTGGTGCACTCCTTCTGTGACCGCTATCGACTTGGTCTCACCCACCACCGTCCGAACCATTGACCTCGCATCTCTGTACATGTCGGCAATGATGTTAACGTAGTGTTCGGGGACATTTTTCTTACGAAGGCTCCACCAGATCGTATCCCTTGGGACACGATCAAACGCCTTTTCCATGTCCAAAAATGCGACATATAATGGTCGGTTTTTCGCGCGATACTCTTCGACAATCGTGTTAAGAGCAAACATCGGATCCGTGGTAGACAATCCAGGTACGAAGCCATAGTGGTTCTTAGACGGCTCGCACTCGGATCTTATGCGGCTGTCAATTACCCTCTCATAGAGCTTCATGGTGTGACTGAGGAGCTTGATTCCGCGGTAGTCGTTGCACTCGTACTTACTACCTTTTCCCTTGTAGATGGGAACTATAGTGCTCAATCTCCACGCCTTTGGCATTTTTGAAGAGAACAACATACAGTTAAAGAGATCGGTTAGCAGTACGAGTCCGCGTGGACCTAAGCATTTCCAAGCTTCCACTGGTATTCCGTCAGGTCCAATGGCTTTCTTGTTGGACATTTTGTGTAGGGCTTTCTTTACCTCATCAGGATATATTGGAGGTATAAGTCCTGCATTTACTTCCAATCCAGGAAGTTGTGTGGCAGCTAGATGGGGTAGGGATAGTAGCTGTTCGTAGTAATGATGCCAAGCTGTTATGACATTATGGTCTTTATATAACAAGTCGCCATTTGGACCTTTGACAGTTTTACACCTGGCCGGATCCTTTGTGCTTTTACAACGCTGTTTTGCTAGCTTATATATACACTTTTGGCCTTCTTTTGTGTTTAACTTCCTATAAAGCGTTTTCTGGGACTGCGCACGTTCTATGGCTATAACTTTCTTGGTAACTATTTTAACTTCTTTGTACTTTTCCCGGTCTTCTGGGGTTAAAGTGGACTGCCAAGTCTTAAAAGCATCTTTCTTTTCCCGTATTGCAACTTGCACCTTCTCTGTCCACCACCACGTCTCTCTGTCGGATTTTTTACCGCTTTTTGTACGGCCAAGAATGTTGTTTGCAACAGTTATAATGGACTTACGTAAATGTTCCCATATGGTGTCAATATCTTATTTAACATCAACCTTTAAATCAGCAAGACGTTCACAGAACTCTGAAATTTTCTCAATTTTAGGTTCCACCATTTGGTGAGTTCAGGAATTTGAGTTGGTTTTTCCTTGGGATGTCGTTTGAATAGCACGTCCATTACAACAATACGGTGTTGGGGGGGCGACGCATTCTCCCGGAATAACCTTACAATTTGTTACACGGCCAATGTGAGCTCGGTTGATTAGTATGTAGTCAATCTGTGAAGATGTTTGGCTGCTTTTATACGTGATCAGATGTTCGATCTTTTTAGCGAAAAAGGAATTGGCAATAGCAAGATCGAAGGCTGCTGCCGTGGAGAGAATGACTTTACCAGCATCGTTTAGTGTTCCGTATGCGTAACCTCCGTGCACCCTTTTGAAAGCGCTGTTTGCTTCTCCGATGTGGCCGTTTAAATCACCCCCCAGTAAAGTAGTTAGATATTAATAGAAGATAGTAGATATTAATTGAAGAGTGTATTCTAGGGAAGTCCAAAAATTGTCTTTCTCTGCTTGGCTACAACCCACTTGGGGAGCATATGCAGCTACAATATTTAGTACCTCTTATTTACTATATTTATTGACATGAGTCTGTCGTTAATACGGTTGACCTCCAGGATGTTTTCAAGATGATCTTCTTTGACAGCAATTGCTACGCCATTCCTACCATGCTTTGCACCTACGTACATAAGTTTGTAGCCCTCTCCGATATTACGGGCTTTGGATCCAGTCCATCGAGTCTCTTGTAGACATATAAAATCTACCCTTCTGCGCTTGAAAAGAGAGGCAAGTTCCTTAGTCTTCCCCGTTAATGTTCCTACATTTAAGGTAGCGAAGCGGACTTTTAGGTTACGATTTGGGACTAACGTCGTTAGCCGAGCCCGTCCTTGACTCGGTAGCCCTAGCATACTATTCGCAGATTTAGGGCGATGTGTCTGCGCGTCGTTTCGCGGCGACGCCCTATCCGTGAGACTCAATGAATTACGTAACCTTTCCATGTTTCTTTTCTAAAGATTTGGCTTTTGGGGTTTATTAGTCTATTGCCGATTGCCATCTGACGCAAAAACACCTACCCGCTCAAGTTAGGGAAACTCGTTATGGAGGTGTTGTATCCAGTATACAGGGTATTTCTGCCTATATGAAACGTTGTCTGGTTATCCCGCCAGACGTCGGTCACCAGAGCCCCGTCCGTAGATCAGCAGAGTGTACCACGTGCAGGTGGTGGCGTTTGGGCTGGTAAAGGTGTTATTTCCAGCCCCTTATACTCCTGTTCTTCAAAGTCTGAAAATACATATTATAATAATTGTACCGTCATTTAAGTTTCGTCTGAAAGTATTGTGCTTTTCTTTGTTATTGTGCTTTTTTTTGTTATTTGTAGTTTTCCTTTGTTACACTTAAGTAAATTCAACTCTTTCTATTATAAAATTTATTTTTTTACATTATACGTGTGATTTTTTGGTTTTTACTACTACTTAGTACCTGCATCTAGACAGAATAGGGTTTTTAATAAAATATGTTCTAGTAATAAATTTATTTGCATGCAAATGTGCAATAAAAATAAAATAGTTCGTTTTCCCTTCGATTTATTAACGTAATATAGTATACGTATAAGGTAACTTTTAATCTTCGATTTATTAAAGTAAATAATATACGTAAAAGGCCACCGTTTGATAAAGCCCTCTTACGATTTATTAAAGTAAATATACGTATAAGGCCACCGTTTGATAAAGCCTTCTTAATTTGTGTCATTAACCT